CTTGAACTCCTGACCTCAGGTGATCCACCTGCCTCGGTCTCCCAAAGTGCTGGGATTACAGGTGTGAGCCACCGCGCCCGGCCAAATGTCACCTCTTTAGAGAGGTCTTGCATGACTCCCCAAGCTAAAGAATTTCCCTCCTAAAACCAGGCATTGCTTTTACATCACCAGTTTCCCCCCATAGGTGTCTCTCTTCTTGAAATTATCTTATGTATGTAATTGCTTACTGGTTTATCGCTAGACCCTATAAGCTCTGGGAGAACAGAGATTTGCCTGCCTCCTTCACTACTGTGTCCCCAGTGCAGAGAATGGTGCTTGGCCTAATAGGGAATGAATGCATGGGTGGGTGATGAAGTGAAGGCCCTCAGCCCCTGCTCAGGGCGTCTCTCTGCTTCCTCCCCTTGCAGTGAGCATGGAGTTTGGGCGGGCTGTGTGGCTCCGTTTCCACCCGTCGGCCTATCCCCCGTGCCCTCACCCAAGCTTCATGGCGCACTTGGGTGGCGTGGCCGTGGGCATCACCCTGGGCGTGGTGGTCCTGAGGAACTACGAGCAGAGGCTCCAGGACCAGTCGCTGTGGTGGATTTTTGTGACCATGTACACCGTCTTCGTGCTGTTTGCCGTCTTCTGGAACATCTTTGCCTACACCCTGCTGGACTTGAAGCTGCCGCCTCCTCCCTGAGGGCTGGAGGCCCGAGGTGGGGGAGGGGAGGGAAAAGCAGCACCCACAGGCAGCACCTGTGAGGTTTTTTCTCATCACCAGCTCAGCTAGGCCAGGCAGGCGAGGACAGAAGACTCCGGGCTGCTGTAATGTGTGTGTTTAGATTTGGACGGACAGTGGAGACCCTTTTCTGAAAGGCACCTGGCGGAGGAGTTAATGTAGCTGCTGTCATTTTTCTAGGCTGTTCTGATGACATCGGGCCAGGGTGAAGGTCTGGGGTGGGCTGTGTGAGTGACCCTCCCTCACCTGGGCTGGGCTTGTTCCATGGGGCCAGGGGTGCCCCCTCGCTGCTATGGATTGAGCAGCAGCTTCTTCCTCATCCTCTACCCTCAGAGACCCTAAGAGACATGGGAAGGCCTGAGGGTTGTTGCAGCTAGGCATGGCCCCTCTCTAGCTCAGAGATAATTGCAGGCCATATGGTGTCTCCTCGACACCTGCTG